ATCTCATTTGTCTCTTGAGAAACCTATATGCGGGTCAAGAAGCAACAGTGAGAACCGAACACGGAACCACTGATTGGTTCAAAATTGGAAAAGGAGTCCGGCAAGGCTGTATACTGTCGCCCTGCCTATTTAACTTATATGCAGAGCACATCATGAGAAAGGCAGGGCTAGATGAAACAAAAGTTGGAATTAAGATTGCCGGGAGAAATATCAACAACCTAAGATATGCAGATGATACCACTCTAATGGCAGAAAGTGAAGAGGAACTAAAGAGCCTCTTGATGCGGGTGAAGAAGGAGAGTGCAAAAGTTGGCTTGAAACTCAACATTAAGAAAACCAAAATCATGGCATCCGGCCCTCTCAATTCCTGGCAAATAGATGGGGAAGAAATGGAGGTAGTGACAGATTTTATTTTTCTGGGCTCAAAGATCACCTCAGATGGGGACTGCAGCCAAGAAATTAAAAGACGCTTGCTCCTGGGGAGGAAAGCTATGGCAAATCTAGACAGCATTCTAAAAAGCAGAGACATCACCCTGCCAACAAAAGTGCGTATAGTCCAGGCCATGGTTTTCCCAGTTGCAATGTATGGCTGTGAAAGTTGGACCATAAGAAAGGCTGAGCGCAAAAGAATTGAGGTCTTTGAACTATGGTGCTGGAGAAGACTCCTGCGAGTCCCTTGGACTGCAAGGCGTTCAAACCGGTCAGTCCTAGAAGAGATCAACCCCGACTGCTCTTTAGAAGGCCAGATCCTGAAGTTGAAACTCAAGTACTTTGGCCACCTAATGAGAAGGAAGGATTCACTGGAGAAGAGCCTAATGCTGGGAAAGATTGAGGGCAATAGAAGAAGGGGACGACAGAGAATGAGATGGCTGGATGGAGTCACTGAAGCAGTAGGTGTGAATTTAAATGGACTCCAGAAGATGGTAGAGGACAGGAAGACCTGGAGGAACGCTGTCCATGGGGTCGCGATGGGTTGGACACGACTTCGCAATTAACAACAACAACCTCATTTACTTATTTAATTCCTTTGAGCCAGCATTGACTCCTGGTGACCATCTGGACCAGTCCCAGCAGTTTTCCTGGCAAGATTTTTGGAAGTGGTTTGCCATTGCCTTCTTCCTACAGCTGATTATGACTGGCACAGCTGATTTGTGCCTAAAATGATATTAGAACTCACTGTTTCCTGGTTTCTAGCCTGATGCTTTAATTCCAAACCAAATTGAATCTATAGAACTCATTTACTCTAAATTAATCAATGTACCATATAGGGTAATATTTCAATTATAACTCCTTATCCTTTTTGTCTCCATCATTAATAGCTACCCTAAGTATGTACCCAACATGTTACCTGTTTTTGGAGAAAGCAGTGTTACATAAATAGAAAAAGAGTGATAAATGTTTTAGATTTAAAAGACCTCATATAACAGAAAGAAAAGGAAGCATTGTTAAAATAGTTTACCATTATAATTCATTATAGGTTTCCCTGCTTTCTTGGAAACTATTTTGGGTTTCCACATTCATGAAAGGATTCATTCATTGCCTTTTATTCTTTAGACTTTTTACTTCTATTCTTGTAGATTTGATCAACTCTATATAGTAATTGTCTTAGTCTTTCATATAGTTGTCTTTTATTTTAATTCTTATTCAACCTTTCTATATGAACAGACTATCTCAAAATATTTCTTTTAACTAGTCATTCATTTTTAACTGTACTATATATCTTCTTTATATTGCACACAGTTCTTAAGTACCCTATTCCCATTATATCCAACTTTTGTTTCTCCTGAAATACAAATTCTCACTTTCATATTTGCTTTTTTTCAACAATAATTTATTACTTATAAATATAATAGATACTTCCCAGAGACTCCTAAAGTTGAGCTATTGATAAAAGTTGAGCTAAAAAAGTGATGGAAAAATGGTTGAAAAATGTAAGATAAGATGAGACGAGACAAGACAAGACAAGATTTATTGTCATTTTTTTACTGTGGGCACAATGACACACATAAAAAATGAAATTTAGTTGCCCACTCTCAGTGAACACATACATGACACACACCTAAACATATACATACTATATACAATACATACTATATACAATATATACTATATATAATGTTGATAAAAAGATAGTGGATAGTGAGAATATAGTAATTAAATTTGCAATAGTATCTTAAATTGACAATGAACCTTTAGCGATAATGCTCTCATAAGTATTATATTTTAACTACAGCCTTAAAGATCAGCATAATCATTATATAATGCCTTCTAATATATTTTTGATCAGAAAACTGGAATTAGGATGCAAACAAGGACTTTAATTTTAAGAAAGATAATTGTTTACATCATAAAACAAATAGTTATTAATGCAGTATTCAGGAGATTGAAATATTATACAGTGTGTTTCTGGAGATGCAATATATATATATATCACAAATTGGCAGAACAAAGTATAATATAGCTTTTTTCAAATTTGAAAGGAGTTCAATTCTATTTACAGAAATTCCTTACCAGAATATCTTCTATTTGCAGTATTTTCTGTTTCTTATAAAGGGTACAATATTCTTTTTCAGAAAAAGATTGTAACAAATCAATGATCAAATAATTAAAGAATATGTTTGACAATTTAAACATATTTAAATTATTTATTAAGGTGGGAAATAGAGGAATGTTTCCTTCTATTGGGTGAGACTCAAATGATTTGAGAGACCTGCTAAGTATCAAGTTAAATTCCCACTTTGTTCAGACTGAGGTCCCCATCTCCAAAATAGGTCAGCAACTATTTTTTGAGGGCAGGAAGGAACGATATTGACCTATTCTCAACTCTACCCAGCTACCAGGAATACATTTTCTAGAAACATGCTCTTGTTCTGCTTTCAGAGAAGTATTTTTGTGCTTATATTCCTCAAGTCTGGCCATCTGGTTTGTGTAGTACATTTTACTATATTTTGTTCAAGGCAAACCCAGAAGTTCATTGGCTAATGTGCAGAGTGCCAGAAATTCCCCCTCCACCTCAAGTCCATGCTGCACAATTTCTATCTTGATGTTCAACCTGCAATCATTTGTTATTTGAGTAAAGGACTGAAATGCAGACCTTTAGTCAGCTGTCATTTCAGTGATGAATCTGTGAACTAAACTGAACTACCAATTCATTTTTTTCTTAAAAACAACACAACAAAGGCTTTCCTTATGAAATTTCAAAGTTGTATTCTCCATAACTGCTGCCGGGGGGGGGGGGGGAGATAACATGAGGCGTAAAATAGTTGATTGAATAAAGATTCTAAGAACAAAAAGTTGAAATGATAGGAATGGATGGGAACGCCAATTATCAAAGAGGTGCCATGATACCATGGACAGGTTTTTCTTAGACTTAATTTAACCTTAAGCTGCCCTTAAAGGAACAGTGAAAATATGTCCTGGAAATGTATAACGTATGGCTTTTGAAAAATGTAAAGGAAACAAACTAAAATTTTTATAAAAATATGACTTTGCTAAAAAAAATGGAGCAAAATCACAATTATAGATGTGTGTTTCATAGGATAACTTTGTAGCTTGGCCCCTGAGTCTTTCTAGTCACCTTGGAGAAATATTAATTGCCTGCACTTCTACAATGAGAGGTCTAAAACTCATGCTTTGTTATGGAAGCCTCTATTTTTATATGGGGGACTTGGTTGCAATTACCAGTGAGGAGAAAAAAACTCAATCTGCAGTTGTCAGGTGAGCTCTGGTCTATGAAACATTCTTTTATTTTATAAAAAGATTATTAATTTATAAAATTAATTTCAGTTAACTGTACATTTGTAAGATTGTGTTGTTATCTTGCTGTATATTACAATTTTGGTTGTAAGCCTATACAACAGAATATTGCAAAGAACCATTTATTCGGTAGCAATTTTAAACTGTTACAAATTAAAAAAATAGTGCCAATTTGCATTTTTCATTAGTTTTAGATGGGAATTGCAATGCAAATTGTGAAAGAGGAATTTCTTATGATTATTTGTTTCTCCATTATTTGTCACATTTTGTGTTGAGAACCAGGAGAACTATTTTTCCCACAGATAAGAAGTTATTGTGTCCTATTGCCAGAGACGTCTTCAATAGAAAACATTTATTGCATGTTGTATCCAATATAACCAATTAGCAACTGTCTGTCAATTATATAAATGAATATATCCTTATTTACCATGTAAGTGTCTGCAGTGAAAAGCCTCACTCAATTGTATATATATTGTGGCTCACATGGAAATGATCACATGCAATTCTGACTTACCACTGCAGACAATCATACTCTAAGCACAAAGACCAAATCTTTACTAAGGCCACTAGAATGATTAAGTGGGAAAGGCTGTAACTCATGACTTGGAAGATTCCATCATTTACATCAAAACAGGGCTAAGGTAAAGTAGCTATTTCTGGCTGCCTTTGTCATTCTTTTGTATGGGATGAAAACTGGTTTTGCAACCCATGCAATATTTCTTGCCTGCTATTGATCATTTTTCTATCCTTTGTACTCAGTTATTTATTTTCCTGTAATGACTCTAAATGGGACATTTAACTGTCAACTGTATTCTAATTTACAACAAATAAACATAAGGTTTCATTAAATTCAATTGACAATGGAGAAATTAGAATTTTTTGGGGGGGAAGGTAACTGACAAAACTGGATTTGTTACTCTGAGTTTTTATATATTCTTCAGTCAACAGTTTAAGATGTTTCAAACTATCTTTAGTTGCTAACTTAACACATTTTAAACATTCAAATTTTTCAAACTAATACAGATGGGAAAATTAATGCACCTGTTTTCAGAGGAAGTATTTTTAATATAAATCTTATACTGAACAATTCCAAACACATTTCATGAAGTACTTAAAATCCATTATAATGGTAGAATTGAATTAATTATTAGAAAAATATAAAGAGTTGCTGTTGCACATTGTTCGATACACACACACAGACATATCACAAATGGAATGACTAATCATATATAATTCGTGAAATATAGTTTTATTATTAATATATTAATTTTATATAAAATAATTTGGTGCACCTTGGACACAAATATATATATTAAAACTGAAAACAGAGCATAATATTGCCCTTTGGCTTATAAGAGATAGGATAAATACATATTCAAATCTTAAGGCAAATTAAAGAACTAAGAAGTAGAAACTGACAGCAATACTATGGTTGATTTTTTAACAATTACATTTTAAATATTTTGCTTTTTAGCCATCTATAATTTTTTTTAGCTGTTTCTCTACTTCTTCCACAAATGCTGGGAAGTGTTGATCCAATAAGCACAAGCGAATAAAGCTGCTTAAATCTTCAGCATTCCATGTGGATTTTTGATATGCAAGAGGAAGTTGATCATCTGGTATCAGCATACACTGCCAAAGAGAACAGAATAGTCAATTTTCTTTTAACATTCCTAACAATTTAAAATAAAATATATTTTGCCGATTTTATTTAATCAACATGGAGTAAATTGTAGCTAAATTTACTTGTTTTTATTAGTAAGAATTTCTAATGTGTTCAATCCCAGTAAGGTTTCTTTGTCTTGATATTTAATTTACCATTCTGGACAATATTCATCCAGTTTCCAACTGTAGAAAGTGTGTTTTGCTTGTTCAGAGGACCTTGGAAGAACCAAATTATCTGGAACCCTTTTAGTCCAGGTTTGGGCCTGGATATGGGACTGAAAAGGTATTAATTGCACTCATAGCAGAAGCAGAATGGAGGTGATTCATCCATTCTTACTTGGTTCTTGACCTTGTGGTAGCTTTCAAAACCATCAATAATAGTATCTTTCTGAACTGGCTCTGGGAGTTGGGTGTGCGCAGCATCATATTGAGCTGGTTCTCCTTCCTTCCTTCCTTCCTTCCTTCCTTCCTTCCTTCCTTCCTTCCTTCCTTCCTTCCTTCCTTCCTTCCTTCCTTCTGAGTTCCATTTGGTGTTAATGAAAGGAACTATTCAGCCAGTGGCTTCTCCTTCATGTGGTGCCTCAGGGTTCAGGAATCTTTTCCCTTCTATTTAAATCTATATAAAGCCACTGGGTAAGGACATCCAATGGTATGGAGTGAGTATGTTACATGCTGATGATACCCAGCTTTATATCTTCACTCCAGGCTGTCTGAGTGATGCTGCAGAGATTCTGTCTCAATATCTGAAGGCTATGAGGCCTGCACAAAATGGAGGATGGATTTTTAAAAGTATGTGTTAAAATATCTCATTACCCACCATTTTATTAACCATTATTAATTGGCTGGAACTGAACCTCTATAAATAACAAGGGCCATTTCTTTGTGGATTTTCATTTACAAATTTTGGTTCCACCTTTAAATATTTTCTGTTACAAATATGAAATACCTTAAAAGTAAGAAACCTTTGGTTTCTAAAAAGTTATACTTTTCTACAGTAACAAATTAGCCTTTTATTTCTACTAGATAAATATTAGGAATACCTGGGCTAGCTCTCCTATAGACATTGTTCCATGTGTTGGAGATATATTTGTAACCTAGAAAGGGTTCAAAATAAATTCATAAAAGATACAAAATGCTACCATAGGCCATTAAACAATTGGAATATTTCTACTTTATTTTCTTTTCTAGAAAATGTATATATTCTAGTAAATAAAATAAGAGGTAATAGTTGTATTCCATAATATAACAACAGCAAAAGAAATATACTTGGAATTTAAAAGAAACTATAGAGAATTTTATCAAAAGTTTTCAATGAACACATTATATAGGTTGGCATTCATTGAAATTTGGACCTCATGCTATAAAATTGTGTGTGTGTGTGTGTGTGTGTGTGTGTGTGTGTACACATCCACATGTATCTACTGTACATGAAATATAATATAATTTTTAAATGCATTCAAGAAATCTGTTCATTCCTAGACTGGCTGAGAACAAATAATTTCAAAACAAAACATTTTGGTTAAATAATTTTGCTGTTTTCATAATAAACTATTAGACTGTGTCAACATTGCAGCACATATTTTTTTCATTTCTTTGCCCAGTCACTTCTACATAGAGTACATTCACCAGCTTACAGTATCTTGTAATGGGACATTTTGTTCTGTATCTTTCATCTGACTTTCATCAGTGAGAAGCAGACAGTGGCTTTGGTGTAATTCCTGCCTTATTGCATCTGTCACTTGAACTGGAATATACTCAGCTAGTTTCTGCATACAGTTATGGCAATGCTCTTCTGCCTCAGTTTGGGAGTCTCCAGTAAATTGTATACGAAACATACGATGTTTGCTCTAAGTTGAAAATAAAAACTAAATTTCATTATTGCTGCATATTAGTACTTAAACATTTGTTAAATTAATGACTATTATATATTTCAGCTTTATTTAACTAACCTTTTCTATGTGATCTAAAAAACTATTTGCATTTCTAATCAATAGTTCACTTTTTAGATATTATCTTTTTAATGTTTTCTTGTTGATTTGGTAATTCCTTGATTTTATTCATAATGCATCACTACTGCTTTTATTACATTTTAATATTATAGCTAAGGTAGCATTTTGTTCAAACATATATCTCCATCTTCATGAGATGTCACTGTGCATCTCATGATGACCTATATATATATTACAAAAATCTGGTCCATACAACTCCTCCCCCCGAACACTAAAAAAAGGCACGAAGCTAAGAACAGAAGACAGAATGTTAAAAATGAAACTAACATAGCATCTAGAATTGTGGGAAAATCTGGCCTTGTAAAATTACATCTTAAAACAAATTTGTAAGGACCTGTCCCAGCAGATCCCTCAGGAAAATAAAAGTCTTGACTCCATTAAGGTTGATCAAAAGAACTTTTAGTGAGAGATAGTGGATGCAGAGAAGTCAGGCAGAATCCGTAGGTCCCACTCAAAGTGCAAAGCAATTCTTTCATTTTCCCCAAACCTAACACCCCCCTCCCCATCAGTCCACTGGCAGCCAATATGATGCTATGTTATGAGAAAACTGAGGTACTGAGTAGATAGCAAATCACTCTCAGGGCACAAAAGCCTTGGAAGGAGTCTGTTTCTTCTCCAAAAACAATCTCCCTCCCTGATTCCCAAGCGGTTACAGGAAAAGCGAAAGCATGCAAGGAATGCCAGAAACCTCCCTTCCTTTCCAACAGAACAGCAGGAAACCTGCATGATGGACCTGACAAAATGACGCAAAATAATCAGAACACAAAAATACAAATATTCTACATGATTATGTGGTAAAGATAAATAATAGTTTTAATAGTAGGATAACTGAAGAATTTGGGATCGCATTCATGATATAATTAAAGATGATACTCTTTAAAAAAGTGTCCCAAAGCACAAGAAAGCAAAATGTTTGCTAATATACTGAAAATAACTGAAGAGTATCTAAAAGCATGAAAATAGAGGAAACTTTGCTTAATTAAACCCTCAACTGGGAGAATGACAAGAATAACAAGACAGAATAAATAATTGACACAACAAAACCGAGGAGAATCATAAAATGGGAAGACAGATAAGGATATTATTGCAGGATGATGCAATAAGGATATTATGAAAATCAAAGAAAACTCGAATATAAAAAAGGAATGATAGAATGCAAAGAAAACAAAGATATAGTGAAGAATGAAGATATAAAAAGAAATTGTATGATTATATGGAAGAACTATACAAAAAGATTGCAAAACCAAAGAATGAATCAATGAACTATGTGTCTGACAGTCTGAAGAGTGAAGTTAAATGGGCTCTTGAAAATACTACTAATGACAATGCTTTAGGAATTGATGACATATGTCAGATAAATTTAAATCTTACAAGATGATGTAATTAGAGAGTTTTTTTATACTTTATAAGTGGATATAAAAAACATACCAAAGGCCAAGAAAATTGAAAAGAAAAGATATTCCAATATAACCAAAGAACAGTGCTAAGTGTTAACACTGCTAATTATTTCAATTACAAAACTGTTGAAATTATTTCACATACTCATTAATGCTCAGGATTTTGCAAGCCAGACTTAATAAATGGAACGCTAAATATGCAAATGTTGCAAAGGGTATAAATAGGATTCAGAAAAGATAGTGCCCACTGGAAAAAAAATCCTAGTATTTAAAAGAAAAGCAAGGGAATTTTTAAAAAGTAATTAATTACATAAAAGCTTTTTATTGTATTCACTGCATCAAACTAAAGACAACTATTAAAAATATGATTCATTTATGTACAGAAGAATTTTTATAATGACCAAAAACATGGAAAATAGAATGTAGGACAACTAAGCAGTCCATAATTGGGAAAGAATTATGCCAAGGTTGAATATTCTCACCATATTAATTAATTTCAATTTTGTGAGCATCCAAAATCATTGATCTATAATGCCTAAGAGGTAAGGCTATCAGATTTGAACTTCAAAAATCCAGACAACAATGTTTCACGGATTTCTTTGCTGTTATCCAAAGATCATTCATTGCAGTGTAAGCTGATAACTATATATGTGTGTGTGTAATACTATATATTACATTATATACTATATATTACATTACAACTAGAAAATAAAAAATTCACTTTGGTATGCCCTGATCTCTTAAATACAATGTTACCTTCTTTTAGATTCTGTTCCGAATAAACTTCACAGTGGTCTTTGGGAAACATTGAGCAACTGGAAACTTCAAATTTCAAAGCCTGAACATTAGTCTTACCCACCATTCATTAAATGAACATTTAAAGTTATGGTGGTACTGAAAAAAATAACTTTAGGGCCAATTTATAACCATTTATGATGTTCACAACATTCCTCGGTCATGCCATTATAGTCAGTACACATTGTTCTATGCCTGACCTGTTTCTTTTTCTCCTCCCTTCTTGGAGAGCAGAAGGATTGAACAGGAAGGGATTGCAAGAAAGTAAGCTGTTTAGTCATCAAAAGCAATATGGCTGCACCAACAGCTGGGGCTGGGAGCTATGCTATGCAAACAGTTACAGTACTCTTTTGAAACCTCTTCTCCAATTTTTTCACTTGTGGAGTGGGATGGGGGGGGAAGGCAAGCAATTTCTGTAATCTCTCTTTTGCCTCACCCTTTTACAATCTGCCCTAGAGCAGAGAGATTGGAAAGAGATTGCAAGAAAGTAAACTGTTTGTTCTACATATCAAAAGCAAAAATGTACTGCTTTCCATATGTACAAAGCAGTAAGCAGAAACCCAAGCATTTCAAATGGTCGCAGAGCTTTTTTAGAAGGCAAACAAAAGCTGAAGATGTGAAATTAAGTAATCTTGTTTCTTTCCAGTTGGAAAGCATAGTCATGTCATGAGATTTACCACTTAATGATCCCTTTGCCTATTTGTGGAGGTGCTAGTGCAAATTAGAATTCTTAACTGAGGACTATCTGTATGAAAGTATAGGTTTTACATCCAAAGGTAGCAAACTACACAAACAAAAAGAAAAGCTCTAGTACAGTGGTTCTCAACCTTTTTAATGCTGTGACCCCCAACCGGTCATAAGTCGAGGACTACCCAACCAGTCGTAAGTTGAAGACTACCCAACCGGTCGTAAGTTGAGGACTTTCCCTGCCCGCGAGCACTGCACATGCATGGTGCCACCCCCTGCGCCGGCTGAGGCGTAGCTGGCAAGTGGCAGAGACGGAGCAGGCTGACCACTGGCTGGGCCACCAGGTGACCCAGCCCAAGCGAGGTAAGGCACCCACCAGGCCCCACGCATGCCAGCAACCCTCCCTGCGCCTGCCGGCCTCCCACCTCCCACCCCTGGCCTTACATTTTTAGTAGTTGCTCAGCAGGGAGGGGTGGAAACTTCCAGATAGCTCGCCTTCACTGCAGACAACTTGCAGCACCGTTTGCAGAATGGGACTTTTGGCGGGCTCAGCAGGGCAGAGACAGCCTGGACAATTCCTATTGGCTTTTGAAAGCCAATAGAATTAGACTCTATTCAAGAGAGTTTATTCTATTGGCTTTCAAAAGCCAATAGAATAAAAGGGAGTAGCACAGCTAAGGAAAAGGGGGAAAAATGGCAGACTGCGTTGTTTGGCGACCCCTGTGAAATGGTCATTCGACCCCAAATGGGGTCCCAACCCACAGGTTGAGAACTGCTGCTCTAGTACATCCAAATATACCTGCATAGTATGGACATCTCAAGCTTTTACAGAAGTTTTCCTCACCAGGCATCCTTATTCTGCTCCAAACCTACATTGCAACTTTGCTATTACTGTACAATACAATGATACAAGAATCTTGTTCAGAATTTTAAGGTACTTAAATCATACATATTCCTTGACTAATTTTAGTATATGAATACAAGTCTAATAATAGAATGAGGAGGGAAAGAATAACCAGACCAACTTTCAGAAGAATAATTCAATGAAAAATATAAATGAAATTTTTTTTAAGTAAAATATTGACATATGAATAAACGTACCTTTAATTTTGAACCAACTAACATGCAATCTGCTTTTCGTACTACCTTTAACCACTGAGAAGCACCAATTAATGAAAATCCTTCCTGCAATAAATTGCAAAATTTATACACAGATAAGGAAGCTCTGAAACTCAGGAATAATTTAAGTAAATAATATTAAATAATATTGCTGCAATCCTTGGAATTATGAATATATAATTTAGTAATAAATTTAGGAAAATTAATAATAAACTTTAAAAAAAGAAATACATTATAATGAAATGATATTTTCTATCATAAACCAAAAATTATGTGCCACAATTTTAATATATTTTATTATTATTTATAATTTTTCAAAAAGGGCTGAAGATGATGATGGTAATGATGATGACAATGGACAAGTTGCCTATTTCACAAGGCTATTTCAATTTTCTATTCCTTACACTGAAAACTATACGCTTCAAAACATTTTAATGAAAGTTCATATTCACAGAGGCATAATGACTCTGCTTGAATAATAAAACTTTGGCAATTGCCTTGTATATCAATGGTTTTTATTATAAAGTCAATTTTCATGCTTAGTTTCAGGGAATTGGTGACAGTGTTCTGGACCAGCCAGTTAGATGAGAACTGCATGTTAGAATGTTTGGCATTTAAAGGGTTAAGCACTATCTCCTTAAGAGATGGCTTATGGGTAATGTAGTTTTAGCTGTTCAGTGAATCCTAAGTTAACAAGTCAGTGGGAGGGGTTACTAAGTTCATCACAGGATATCCTGGCTATGTGCCAGCTCGTGTTTGTCTTTGTACGAAACCAACCATGCCGCACGCATGGACATCGTCTATAACCAGGCTAAAGTGAATATGATAAAATACTGATTTTACCTACAAAAATGGACAAATGTACAGCATCCAGATGAAACTACAGAACTGTGAGTTCTGCCAAGTATTCCTGGAATAAATATTTGTTTTATAACTATCTTCGTTGAGTTGTCCCTGTCTGGTCTTGAATTACAAAGCATCTTAGTTTAGGATACAGAACAGATAGGTAATAATATATTTACAGGCTAGATTTTTAAAATGGTTTATATTTATCATTTGGTTTACTAATTTCATCTTTTTTGTAATACTATTCAAATATAATGAATTTGTGTTAAAGGTAATGCTTAACTAGATAAAGCGAAAATACTCAGGTATAGATTGTTAAACTTAGTAAACCTTGATAAGGTACTTCTCTTCCTTTTCCTCCTCATTTTTCTCTCCTTTTAAAGCTAAAGTTAAAGTTTTCCCCTGTGAGTTTTGTTTGACTCTAGGGGGTGGTGCTTATCTCTGATTTACATCCAAAGAGCCAGCATTGTCTGAAGATGTTTCCGTGATTATGTGGTTGGCATGATTATGCACTGAAGGTGCACAGAACATTGTTACTTCCCACCGAAGTGATACCTATTTATCTACTTGCATTTAGAATACATGCTTTCAAACTGCTAAGTTGGAAGGAACTGAGGGAAGTAACGGAATCTTACTCCATCACAGAGTAATTAGGTCTCAAACTGCCAACCTTCCAGTCAACAAGCTCAGCATCTTTACTGTTTGGCCACCCACTGTTTGTGAAATTTTGTTACAGAATTATGACAGAACTTTGAAATAAATTCTACCTCATCACTGGATGAACAATTGTGCAATATTTTGTTGACTGGTTTTTGGATTATTGTTTGTGTATAAATTCTATTCATATAAGTTCTATTCACATAAGTGCTATCAGTGCCTAGGAACTATGCTGACTTAATTCACTTATTAGGGGAGACTGTTTTAATATTCCTTTAATGAAAAACATTATACCTATCAGAGAGGATATGTTGAAGAAACAAAAATATATAAAAGTTAACATGTCAATAGTTACCAGTACTTCTTTTCCTCTGGAAATGAAGAAATGGCCTGAAATAACTATACTGAGAACAAGAAAGCCAGATTCTTCATTTGACTCCAAAACCTTTTAAGAAAGAGAATCTGTCTCTTAACATGATGAAAATATAAATGAAGTGGTTTCCATAAAATAAAAGCATGATTTTTTTCTTTAAAAATTGCATACAAAATATGTTTATGTTGGATATCTATTTACAAGAAATAAATATAACTGTATTCATGATTATAAGCAAGGAAATAAGGAATAAGAATGTAATAATTTAACATATTTAGTTTTATCAGGGTATAGAGAATTTGTTCTGTTTTATTTTCAGCTAGGCTTATTTTCTCTGAAATTTCCTCTATATTTTAATACATTATTTTTTGTAAGCCACTTTGGATGTCTTGTTTGGACTAAAAGAGGTATTATGATTTTTTTTATAAAAAAAATGCTGCTAGTATTCTGCAATTCTAGATATTTAGTCAAACACAGAGGAAAGACAACTAAGCTTAAGAACATAGGAAATATTATACTGAGACAAAGAAATAATTGAATTCAGTATTCATTTTTGCACTTCAGACAAAACTAGTGATGCCAGATTAGGGATGCAAAACTCTGGATGATTACTAGATGGCAGATATTATCTCTTTTTATTCCATCTAGCAAACATAGATAAATATGGAGTATGTCTCAGAAGAAACTTACAAACAAAACTTGACTTCATTCATGAAATTTTAATTTTTAGGAGCTGAAACAAAATGAATTTCTAGATGATGACAGATCAAATACAAAGCAAGTCCTCTCCTGATCTAGAAGATGTGCT